AAAGGAACAAAACCTTGGTTCCAAAGCTTATTAATCCACTTTTGAAAGACCAAGAACCAATGTTAGTATGCTTTGGTAGCCTAGCAGCATTGGAGATAGTTAAAATGTGTCCATGCAAAAAGGAGTCCCTTTATTCAAATGCCCAATTAGTCCAGCTCGACCATTGTAATCCGTGATCTTCGTGTTCGCAATCTAGCACCCATTCGACATTTTGCGATGCTCATTAGAAGAGAGACATCTAGAAGGACGCTAAAGTTATAACCATTTAAAGAACACCATACCTCATAATCAAAAGAATCGAAGCCAATTGAACCAATGACCCACAACAAGATCCTAATATGCAAAATCCCAAGATTGCGCACATATCCATATCTAGAAGCAACAAAAAGTATATCCAAATTTACGGGAAAAGAAGCAGAACATGACTAGATATCAGCAAATATGATTCCTCAAATTCCATACTGAAGCGACACAGTACAACGGGCTACACAGAAATATGAGAGAACAAGACATGTTTCGTGGAATTGGACAATTTGAGCTCTATATTTGGCTGCCACTTATGTCGTTATAGTTTGAGGATATCGCGAATTGGGTCATGTCTTGATCAACATTTTTCCAGAATGAACAATCCTGGGGATTAGATCACCATGTGGACTATCTCAGTATACTCAAAAACCTGCCTATAAACAAATATGAGTCATCAAGCAAATTTTAATGCCGAACACTAAGGTGCGATTGGATATGGATTTGATTGGTTTTTTTTTTTAACCATAGTTATTTTGAAAAACGTGGTATGGTTAGTTGTTAGTGGGAATTTATTTTAAATCAAAATAATATTTAAAACAAAATAATTAAAGTTGATTTAAAGTGCAAGTAGGAGAGCAATGATTCGAAGTGATGGTTAGTTAAAATTAGGTGAGTGGATGAACATTGAATTAAAGTTGATGTGATGTATAAGAATGATGGGTTGATATTATTTAATTATATTGATAATATTGAGGATATTGGGGTTGGATTAAAGTTGAGTTAATTTTGCGTTTTGATTGATTTTTTATTGGTCTAGTTTATATCCATTCACACTCTAAACCCTACATGCATTGACATAAAAAAACACAGATGAAACTTCCAAATGACCATATTCAATTTCAAATTTCAGATCATATATAGAAGGTTTGAATTTCTTATGTTGATTTTCTCCTTTATTCACCACAGATATAACTTCAAGGTCCACGCCACTAAAGACCTGGCTCCAAAGAGAAGCTTCCGCGACCAAGAGCTGAAATACGCCCAATGCCAATTGATGGTACATTAGTACCACCCCATGTATCTACTATAAAAACCATCTGAATATTTGTAGCATAAAACCACCCATGCATTTGCACTTACTGAAACAACAGATTACAAAAACAACGGATAAACCCTTCCTCAAAAGCAGAAAACCAACAAAATTATTTACCTTGACAGAGAGCGTGCTTTCAATCCAGAACGAGGCGGAGACAAAGACCTTGAACGGGATCTCAAACGGCGTGACAGTTTTCCCAGTGGCGACTTGCTGCAAGTAGATTGCATAAAATGATAATGGTCATTTTTGGAACTGAATAAGGCCTAACCAAAAATGAACAAGAATAAAATTAATAAAATTAACCTTCTGCTCCTGCTCCTACTGTGACTTGAACTCCTGCTCCTGCTCCTGCTCCGACCATTGCTCCTTCCTTTAGAGAATGACGGGCTACGGCTTCTAGAACGGCTAGAATCATATTCCTTTACCTAGTACAAATGAAAAGTAGTAGTTCAGAGATACACCCGCATTTGTGGTCTGAATAATTACACTACGGTAAGGATCCATACATGGATTCTACCACGGGAGACAGCATTGCGAAACTCAGAATCATCGAGCTTCTTGATCTACACATAAAAGGAAAAGCAAAATTAGAATTAAACTCAAATGAATATTTCAGATTCCATAGCCGGAATGGATCGATCAAACATTTTAGACATTAAGGATCAACATATGTTTTAAAATACATGAAATTCAAAGAGAGATGAAATTATTACTTACAGCATATTTCATGTCGTCATAATTTGTGTAGTCTACTATCCCTGTCTTTCCTACACGAAGAAAAGTTGTAGCACTGTAAGAATCCTCTACCACAACTAAGCAGTAAAATGTCCAATCTTGATAGCCGAGAGAAAAGATGGCCACATATTAAAGTATACGAGTTTTATAAGAACAGGAAATAATATAAACAGCAGCAACCGACCAAGATGAAGAGCATCATGGATAGGACATAAAAAATACAACGAAAGCTTACCACTCCCCTCATGGAAAACTTCTGAGAAGCAAACATCCCCAGCTCGACGCATATGATCCTAGACAAGAAGCATAAGCACAATAACATCAACATCAACCAACAACATCGAATTAGCAGGCCATCTTAACATTAATGAATATGATACCTTGAGATCTTGCCACGACGCAGAATTAGGCAAGCCAGTGACCATAACTGAAAGATGAAGCCAAATGAGACCGAATTGCAAAGATGTAAATAGAATCAAATTATGTCATAATTCACATTTAACAATCTATCACCTCTGTATTCCGACCGCCTGGACATTCCACCACGGTGCCCCCGACTTCTGCTGTAACGATCTGTTGACGAAGAGTTTCCTCGTCCACCATGAGCAAGCTCGACCTGTGTATTCAGATATCACTAATAAAATAAAAAATA